ACACAGTGGAGATCACACACACATACACACACACATACACACTTGTTAAAATAGACTGACTCACCCTCTTCCTTCTATTCTATATTTTCAGACTACATCTTGATTCACTGTGCCTTGTACTATTAATAGTCATATATGCCAGCTTTTAATTTACGGCTTCTCATCTCCAATCTTCATTACCTGCTCTGTGAAAATAGAGATGGGCCTTTTCCTCCTTTTCCATCTGGCACAATGCTAAATGCTGGAGACGTTGCAAGAGGAAGGGGAAGGCAATGTCCTGCAGTCCCTGAGTGTCCCTCTTCACTACTAGTAACCCGGGCCATTTCTCAGGCTTGTGTGTGTAGTGAGAAACCTCGAGGACAAAAAGCAGGCTTGTCTACCATTTACTATAAAATCATGAATTTCCCTAAGCTCGGTGGATTCCCCACCTGCTCCTGTGGGACTTGGGGGCCAGGGGAATTAACCCAAACTGTGATAGCCACACTTGTTTTTGTACTTTGGGTAATAAAGTTCTTTGTCTCTGCCCCAGTTTAGTGCCCTCTGCCAGCATCCATGAAACAATTACAGGCTAATCTACTAGCCTGCAAGTAGGGCAGTCAAACCCCACACCATGATAACCAGCCAGTCCTGGGTGAATCTCACCCTCTGTAATAGTACCTAACTTCTTATACCAAACCTTCTCTGTTCCACTTACGGTGTGCGTTCTGTCTCCTGATTGGACCCTGACTGATCCAGTACAGCTGCAGAATCATCTTCCTCACATCCTTAGAATCCTGAAGCATTTGTGTCTCTTAAATTATATTAAACGGCGAACAATGGATTTATGACTTGCTAGCAATGGGTCATCCTCTCATTTCCATTCAGGACTGCTCCCCCACCCAGCATCCCTGCTCTTTGCTCTATTGACAGCAACAGTTCTCTGTACCCAGGACATTAAATATGCCCCCCTCACTAACATGCCCTTCTTCTGTCCTCTCACAATGGCGCGGCACTTACTAAGGGCGTGTGTGTGTGTGCACGCACGCGTATGCACTCATGCACATAATAGGCAGAATTACGTAGCCTGTTCCTACTCATTAAAAGTGAGAATTTAAGGGCGCCTGGGTGGCTCAGATGGTTAAGCGTCTGCCTTCGGCTCAGGTCATGATCCCAGCGTCCTGGGATCGAGCCCTGCATTGGGCTCCCTGCTCAGCGGGAAGCCTGCTTCTTCCTCTCCCACTCCCCCTGCTTGTGTTCCTGCTCTCACTATGTCTCTCTCTGTCAAATAAATAAATTAAAAATCTTTAAAAAAAAATAGATTTGCCTCTGCCATTTACTAGCTGGTTTCTACACCATTAAGTGGGAATAATCATATCGACTCCATAGGGCTATTGTAAAGATCTTAAAAATTAACATCCATACGAGGTGCTTAGCACAGTATCTGCCACATAATCAAGTTGAATCAAACTCTCTATATTTCAGTAAACAAATGACCAAATCTGAGGCAATTTAATAAAAACATGAGCTTTTAACCCACTTTCACTTGGTTGCCTCAACAGCTAAGCTAGTCTCTAATTGTCTTCGGGCCCAGAGAAGACTTCTCCAAGACTCAATGGGGAGGCCAAACATACTGAGTTCAAGGCCTCATTCCTCAGACTTGCCTCCTCTCTCTATCTTCTTCCAATCACTTTCTTGATATTGAAAGCTCCCTCTTGGTTTACCATTTTCTTTGCTCTGTATTTTCCTTATTTCCACCCCCTCAGAGGCCTCATCTCCTAGGTGATGGAAAAATGATCCTCCATGTACAGGTTGGCAAACTTCTTCTGTAAACGTCAAGAAAAAGATAGGGTTTCTGTCACAACTCAACTTTGCTGTCATGCACAAAAGTAGCCAAAGGCAATATGTAAAAAAGAGGCACATCTGTATTCCAATAAAACTTTACTTACACAAACAAATGGCAGACAGATTCGCCCTGTGGGCTATAGTTTGTTGACCTTTGATCTGTAGTTTCTCTGCCTTTATTTAGTCTTTGGACCTAGAGAGCTAAAGTATAATTTTGAGTTGGCCATTTTTCTCTGTATTTGGTCTTCAAAAGAGGAACTCATTTGTAGAACTTTGTCTCACCACAGGTAAAATCTTCATTTTGAACATATCCCCCATTCCAGTAGTACTTACTATATTTTATCATGTATCATGGCCCTTCATTGAATGGTTCTATCTGGCTCCCTGAGATTCTATCATCACAGGCTATTCACTATATGTATGTAGATGATTAGATACAAAAATACCTTTAGCTTGAATCTTAAAGCACTATGTAATTACTGAAAAAAATGGCAATGTGCTGAATAGCATTAACTATACAGTATCAATGAACAACTCAGATTAATGAGTCAGCATAATTTTTATACTTTGATGTAATATTAGGAAGTCCATAGTCTAAAATTTCTACTGCCTAAGTAAGAAATTGAACTGAATAATTTTTATTATCAAGAGAGAATAATTTCAAAATAATGATTATTAAAATGTTTAATATTAATTAAGTCATTGTTTTATTATGGTCAAAGAACTTGTCATCATTATGCAGTCATGGCTATATTGGGATTTTGGTTCTCTTAACTAAACTGTCAGTTGATATTTTGTAGGTTTTGCAATTCTTTCTGAATGCTCAAACATTATATAACATGATTATACTCATGGCAATCACTGTAGTGGACAATATAGGAGACTAGATAGAATTAGAGAAGTAACATCTTTCACCATATTTTGAATAATTACAGAATTAGTTTAATGTAATGAACAAATTTAGTATTGTTGAAGGTCATATGAATGAGAGAAATATTTTGTTGAAATTGTATAGATAGGGCATTTCTTTAATGTCATTTTTCTGAAATTAATTTCCTGAGCACCTATTATTCTGTTTAAATACATTTTAGAAAGATAGTCTTCCTTGACTGGTAGAAATTGCCAGTGAAAATATCTGGGCCTGGAGTTTTCTTTGTGAGAAGATTTTCTTTAAATGATTATAGGACTATTCGGATTCCCTATGTCTCCTGTAATGTAAATCTGGGCTGCAACTTTTATGGCAGGTGTGTGGGGAGGCATGGGAGGGGTGGGGGGCCTTCAGGCCCAAAGAAGACTTCTTCTGTAACCTGTTATCAGAGATCCCAAGGCATTTTCTTTTCATTCCTTTTCTTTTTCCTTTTTTCCTTCCTTCCTTCCTTCTCTTTTTTTCTTTTCTTTCTTTTTCAGTCTCCTGATAATGGAGAATGAGGTAGGTATTATTTTGGTTTGCCATTTCCCTCTAGCTGTAGCACTTTGAGATGTCAGCTTTATAGAGGTAGAGTCTTTCCATCTTGGGCATGTCTTGGGTTTTGACTTTTCTAACCCACACCCTAGGAGGCCAACAAAACCAAAGGAAAACTTCCTCAGTTTGGGGAATGCCCTCAGGGTAAAAAAGGTTCAGTGCTCAGCTCATCTTTCTGGATCTTCCCTTTCACTTAGCTTTTTGTCTTCATAATCTTTAATATTTTGTTTGTTCTTCAATGCTTTAAAGAAAATGCATTTTATTCAGAATTTTTGGTTGTTTTAAGCAGGATGATTCATCTAAATAGTCTACATAACCATATTCCCAGAAACGGAGGAAGTCTGCTCTGAGTTGTTCATGTTTTTCAAAGCTGCTTTTCATTTTAGACCATCACAATATCTTCTCAAATAACTTTGTTAAAAATATCCCATTTCTTCTACAAAAATACTATACAGGCTCACTGATTTGGTGTAACATAATTGGGAAAAGCTCATCTAAATTGCGAAAACCTCTAAGTGGTATGTTAAAATAAATTGTATACTTTGCACATGCTAAATAAAGCTAGCAAAATATCATCTCGTAGTGGTCCTTGGGGGAACTTGAACAGATAAGAATGATTTGCAAGCTCATAATTATGTGACTAAATAAAAAATGGTTCTCCTAAAAGGGCTTGAGGGTGCTTGGAAAGTTCGCTCTTGGTGTAACACTGTGGTAGTCTGTGCCAGTTGCTATAAAAAAATATCACCGACTGGATGGCTTATAAACAGTAGAAATTTACTGCTTATAGTTCTGGAGGCTAAAAGTCCAAGGTCAGTGTGCCATGTGGTTGTGGGAGGGCCCTCTTCTGGTTGCAGACTTCCTGGGATATCCTCTCAAGGCAGAAGGATCTAGGGATCTCTGTGGAGGCTCTTTTTTTAAGACACTAATCCCATCCAGGAGGGTTTCTTCCCTCATGACTTATAGGCACTTTCCAAAGGCTCCGCCTACTAATACCATAACTTGTGGGGAAGAGGCTCTGAACGCGTGACTTTGCAGGGACACAAACACTCAGACTACAGCAAGCACAGAGGGCCTTGATTTGAAGAAGTTGGCAAGGGATGACATAGTCTGAGGGGAGTGGAAGCCACTCTGTGGGACATTGGCCTAGGGAATGGTTCTCTACTGTGACTGCACATTAGATTCACCTGGGTTCTGGCTGGGACTGACAGCCTGAGATGGCACATATGGGGTAGAGTCCAGACGCCAGGGGTTTTTTTAAAGTTTGTCAAGTAATCCTGATGGGATGCCATGGCTGAGAATCACTGGACTAGACTGTGCCAGCAATGGGGTGATAATGCCATACCATTCTGGGTTCTGGCTGGGATGGTATCCCAAACTGTCCTATCTGGTGGATATGAATGCCGACAGATAGTCAGATGATATTCAACCTACATTATTGAGTACTGGAGCTGGAAGAGACCTGAGCAATCCTCTAGTACAACCTTTGCAAAGACTATTATGAAAGATTTATATAACAGGGAAAATACAAAAGTTCTCTACCATCCAAATACCAAATATTGAGTTGAATGTTCATGACATCTGAAAATTGAAATTGTTGTAACATTGCTGGGAGAAGAGAAAGCAGGCCACTTAGCTGATATATTTTAGCTGTACGTGGTCCATATGACTCCTTAAATAAGGTCAGATGGGAAGAGCAGGTAGACAGGGGGCCTACCTGTAGACTGCATCCCCGGCATTATTTATAACCATCTGGAGCTTCTTCATATTATTTTGGAGTCATGTGCAGATAGAAACGATGACTGTCATTCTTAATTTGAAAAAAACAATAAATGAGCCAACATTTCCCTCCATCGCCCTGCATGTATCTGATGCCTCAGCAGTCAGCCTGGGCTGCTTCTTCCTTCCCGACCATATTCTAGTTTTCTCACTCCCATGCACATGCTTTCTACCCCTCTCCTTATGTCATAACCCTCTTTCAAAATGTGAACAAGGAAATCTCATAAATTCTTTTTGTTCTATCTTTCAGAATTTGTGTTACTATAAACCCACATTTCAATACATTTGCGGTGCCTGACCTCAAAGACCAAGTCTACTCCATATTTACATCAACCAGTAATTAGCGAGAGCCTATTATGTGAAGGTGTAACAGTGGGTAAAATGCTAAGTGCTACAGTGGGTACAAAAAGATACCCCAGTATATGCCCTTAATGAACTAACATTCTTTCCCCTCCTTTGTGTCATGATCAACAATTATATAAGATTTTAGTCTCCCTACTGCTTTGCTCAATGCACATTTTTTTATCAGAAAGTTTCTGAGATAAATGAATTCTCAATTGGAATAGCTGCCCCCACCCCCACTCTCAGTCCTCTGCAGCTTTGCTACTGAGTTTGTGATACAGAATCAGCCAGGTAAGTAGGTCAGCTTTTGCCAAACTTACTACCTGGGATTTTCTTTCTTTGAAGTCCTCATACAGCCCAGCTATTCTTGTCAGACACAGGCAGCTCTTTGAATGACAGCTTCTCTCTAACCTCATTGCTCCACCACTACGCAAGGACCTCTTTCCGTCCACAAAATTTACTCCATCTAGGTCTCTTTTGAACTGCTCAGCTTATCATGTACTTTAGATTTGTAAAGACGCATAACTTCAAAGAAAGCGATTTTAAAAATGTAGTGGATTCTACTTCTCAATTTCAAGTGGCGTGTTTGTACTCTCTTAAAAAGTGACAATAGACTTTCTGGGTAGAATTCACTCAGAAAAATATAAATAAGCAATCTGACTAGTTTTGAAACTAGTGTAGTCATGATAATGTTAATACATTGAGTATGCCACCACTCCCGGTGTAACCAAAGGGTCACTGAGTCATTGTTTGCCTTCCCAACTTCTATTAGTTATTCTTTAGGCACATATTATACAAGTAGTATTCATTCAACAATATAAAACCAATTACCGATATCTTGATTAAATATGTGTTTATTATCCACAAAGAAATGTCACCAAATGGAACCAACTTCAGCTTGAGCAAAGATGGAGGACACTGAACATGGTTTCCAAGCTTCCTTGCCTTCTTTAGATGCATCTCATTAGCTAAAGGAAATAATTACCCAGGGCTGGAGGGAAAATGGGGTGGCAGTAAACACTAGTTGTGATGCTAATACCTACATCAATCAGTACTGTATTTCTTCAAGAGATTCACAAGATGCCAGAGTTGCTCAGGCCCAGGAGAAGATACAAAATAAACATGGTATTTTCTTAGGTCTTAGGAGTCAGGACAGAGTCTCTGGTGGGGGAGTTGGTCCATTTTTATAAATCATGGAAGGTATCTGAGATTGAGAAGGATGAAAATACCAAAAGTAGGTTTTAATTTTTCATGGCATTTGATTTTTTACTCCAATTAAAAAATGAAATAGAATGAAAATATTACATGGGAATTTATAATCCAGTCACAGTAAAATGTCATTTTACTGAATATTTGTTCAATAACAGTTAAGAAATTACAAACATTTTAAGCATTATACAATTAATGAAAAGATACTTACTTTGACTTTTAACATTTATGGGATGCCTTTGTGTACTAGGCATTGGAAAAGAGCTTCCAATCAAAATTTCCTCTTTGTCACTGTTTCTAAATCTAAAATCTAAAGAGATTTTCTGTCAGACTTAAAAATCCATTTACTTGCACATTACATTGAGAAAAAATCTCTTTGGGATGAATGTAAATGCAGAGTTTTAATCCTAGCAATATAGAGAATGCCTATTGTTACAACATTTAAATAACAATTTGTAATGTACCTACTAAGCTTTTTATTGTAAAATATACATAAAATTTGTCATAAGTGACATTTAGTACCTTCACCCTGTTGTGTAATCACCACTAATTAGTTCCAGAACATTTTTATCACCCCGAAAGGAAACTCCTTACTCATTAAGCAGTCATTCTCCACTCCCTCTTCCTCTCAGACTCTGGCTGCCCCCACGAATTTGCCTATCTTGTATATTTCATATAAATGGAATCATACAATATGTGGTCTTTTGTGTCTGGCTTATTTTACTTGGCATAATGTGTTCAAGGTTCATCCATGTTGCAGTATGTATCTGTACTTCATTTCTTTTTATGACTGAAAAATATTCTATTATATTATGTACCACAATTTGTTTATCTATTCATCAGGTGATGGACATTTGGGTTGTTTCTACCTTTTGGCTACTATGAATAATGTTGCTCCGAATATTTATATGCAAATTTTTGTTTGAACACCTGTTCTCAGGGTTTCTTATTTTGGTAGGGGGGATATACACCCAGGGGTGGAATTGCTTGGTCACATGGTAATTCTATGTTTAATTTATTGAGAAACTACCAAACTGTTTTCCACTATACCCATACTATTTAACCATCCTACCAGCAGTGTATGAAGGTTCCGATTTCCCCACATCCTCTCCAACACTTATCTTCTCTTTTTAAAATTATAGTCATCCTGGTGGATTTGAAATGGTTTTGATTACACTTCCCTAATGACTAATGATGTTGAGCGTCTATTCATGTGATTGTTGACCATTTTATACCTTTGTTGGAGAAGTGTCTATTCAAGTCCTTTGCCCATTTTTAAATAGGTTGTTTATCTTTTTGTTGTTGAATGTAGGAGTTCCTTATATATTCTGGATAGACTTTTTATATGATTTGCAAATATTTTTTCACATTCTGTGGGCTGTCTTTTCACTTTCTTGATCGTGTCCTGTGATGCATAGAAGCTTTTAATTTTGATGAAGTCCAGTTTATCTATCTTTTGTTGCCTTGTGTTTTGATGTCATATAAATGAAACCATTGCCAAATCCAAGGTGATGAAGATTTGTACCTATGTTTTCTTCTTAGAGGTTTATGGTTTTGGTTCTTATATTCAGATCTTTGATTTATTTTGAGTTAATATTTACACATTTGTGAATTAAATGTCCCATTTCATTCTTTTCCACATGAATATTGCTGTTGTAGCACCATTTGGTGAAGAGACTATTCTTTCTCTATTGAATGGTCCTGGCTCCCCTGTTAAAAATCAGTTGACCATAGTTTATTTCTGGACTTTGTATTTCATGCTACTGGTCTATGTACTTATCCTTATACCAGTACTACACTATTTTGATTACTGCAGCTTAGTAATATATTTTGAAATCAGGAAATGGCATTTGATTTTAACTTTAACTTTGTTCTTTTTAAAGATTGTTTTGGCTCTTTTGGGTGACTTCCAATCCCATATAAATTTTAGGATGAGCTTTTCCATTTCTGCAAAACAGGGCCAGTGGGATTTTGATAGGGATTGCATTGAATCTATAGACTAATTTGGAGACTACTGCCATCTTAACAATAATTCTTCTGATCCATGAATGTGGGATGTCTTTCCATTTATTTAGATCTTTATTTCATAAGTGTTTTGTATTTTTCAATGTGCAAGCCATGCACTTCCTTGGTTAAGTTTATTACTAAGTATTTTATTCTTTGTAATGCTACTATAAATAGAACTGTTTTTAAAATTTCCTTCTTGGATTTTTTTTGCCAATGTATAGAAATCACTTGACATTTCTGTGTTGATCTTGTATCCTGCAACATTTCTGAATTTATTTGCACTCAAGTTTTGTTTTGTGTGTGTATGTGTGTGTGTATTCTTTAGAATTTTTAATATATAGAATCATGTCAGCTGCAAATAGAGTAGTCTTACTTCTTCCTTTAAAATCGGGATTCCTTTTATATCTTTTTCTTGCCTAATTGTTCTTCCTAGAACTTCTGGTGCAATGTTGACTAGCAGTGGTGAAAGTGGGCATTTTCTTGATCTGAAGAAGATAGTTTTCAATCTTTTACCATTTAATATGTTGTTAACATGGGTTTTTCATGAATGCCTTTTAACAGTTTGAGGAAATTCCATTTCTCCCTAGTTTGTGGAATTTTTTTTTTTTTTACCATGAAAGGGTGTTGGATTTTATCAAATGTTTTTCTTATCAATTGAGATGATCATGTTGTTCATTCCCCCTTCATTCAATTTTTTTTTTTATAACAAATAGCTTTATTTTCATGTCATTGTCCAACTAGGACAATGTTGCTCCCTTCATGCTATTAATGTGATATGTTATATTGACTGATTTTCATATGTTGAAACATCCCCATATTCTTGCAATAACTATTACTTTGTCATAGTGTACAATCTGTCTGTGTCTGGCTTTGGTATCAAGATAATGCTGGCCTTATTGAATAAATTAGAATGTGTTTCTCCTATTTTTTTTTTTGGAACAGTTTAAGAAGAATTGGTGTTAATTTCTCTTTAAATGGTTGGCAGAATTCACCAGTGAACCCATCTACTGCTGTATTTTCTTTGTTGGGAATTCTTGATTATTGATTCAATCTCTTTACTTGTTATAGGTCTGTTCAGATTTTTTATTCCTTCTTGAGTCAGTTTTGGTAATTTGTGTGTTTCTAGGAATTTGTCCATTTCATCTACGTCATCTAATTTTTTTGGCAATAAAGCCTTTTTGATAAATAAATCTGTTTATGGTTCAGTCATCCAAAATACCATGCAATCCATCTAATATTTATAAAATGTGAAGTATATATCGTGTTTTCTTGCATTTACTTTTCTAAAGCAAATTTGTACGTAAAATTCTATAAGAGATTTAAACAAAATTTCCCCAATGAGACTAAAGAACCAAAATTTTCTGAGAGGGGTATAACTGGTATAAATTTTACTTCCAAAAGCATAAACCTTCTTCATTTTCTTTTTATTAAAATAAATGATTCCTCATTTATTAAAATGAAACCTCTCTTTTTCTACCTAGAGAAAGAAATAAGAGTATGGACTCTCAAGTGCAGAGTGCCTGCATTCAAATTCCTGTCCTACCACTTACTTGCTATATTATGATCTTGGGGTTAACTTCTCTGTGCCCCAGTCTCCTCATCTGTAAAAATGAGAATAATAATGGAACCTACCTCATAAGGTTGTTGTGAGGATTAAGTGCATTAATGCGTGCAAAAAACTTGGTTCTTAATTCATAATAAGCATTCAATAATTACTAACAAATATTATTTTTATAAGGTATCACTAATTGAGGTTAAAATAAAGAGCATCTAGGTATCATCATCAATGAACAAGCAAGTATAAGTCAAGGCAGCAATGTTGGATGATGGATACAAAGAAGAGTCGTATTTTCCTCCAGAGTTATAAGACCCCAGACGAGAAGAATGAATGTTTTGGCGAGCGTTCTGTCACCAGAAAGAATTGGTTCTCTTTATTAGTATTCAGGAAAGCAGGTCCTCTTGACCACAGTTGACCTTTGAACAATACAGGTTTGAACAGTATGGGTCCACTTAGATGAGGATTTTTTTTGATAAATACAGTACAGTACTGTACATATATTTTCTCTTCCTTATGATTTTTTAAATAACATTTTCTTTTCTGTAGCTTACTTTATTGTAGGAATACATACAATATACAAAATATGTGTTAATCAACTGTTTACATTATTGGTAAGGCTTGGTCAACAGTAGGCTGTCACTGGTTAAGTTTCAAGGGAGTCAAAAATTGTATGCAGATTTTTTGCTGTGCAGGGAGTTGGGCCCCTAACCCCTGTGTTGTTCAAGCGTCAACTGTACAAAACTGCATTAAAAAGGTCCTCTATCAAGGTAGAAAAATCAAAGGCACTGTTCATGAATCCCATAAGGAAAGGAAGGTCCTCAGAGAGTGGATGGTGAGTGTTCAAAGGAATAATCACAAGTATAAATCCTTGTATTGTACAAGTATAAATTCCTTTCAAATCACAGGCCTGAGCCTCCCCAAGAAGGTGATGATGTGCTAACACATTTCTGCTTTTGATTTTTTTGTTTTGTTTCCTGTAACTTTTCCTCTTCTTTTCCTCTCTCTTCCCCTAAATACATAAATATACTCTAAGGCTGATCCCTCCTTGTCATGAAAATAATTGAATTTATATCCATAATATAATGAATATAGAAAACATTAATGTATTTTTCACTATTATTTTCTTTGTGGCCACACCAATAAGATGACCACAAGATTTGCTTTGGGAATGGAAGTATTCAGTTTCTTGGTTTCCAGGGTAGAAACATTTCAAGAGCATTCAAAATTGGCTGCCTCCCACCCCACCCGCCCCACCCCCCACCAAAAAAAGAGTTGGTTTAATTTTTTAAAGAAAGCAACTAAAATGAAGTCTACCTTGATATAAAATGTAAAAGCACATTAACCACAGTTCTGTATTTTAAAAGATGGGTATTTAGTTTATACTCATTTTTATATTAAGACATAAATTAATGATTTTTATATCTTAAAGGATTTATCATAAAATGTTACTGCCCAGTGCATTTTTGCCGACAAGAAACAATTCACTGAGAATATTAACATTCACATGTGTAATTGGAGTTTACAAATGTACAAAACTTTGGGTAATAAACACTTCAAACTTATTTTTCAAACATTCAATAATCCCATTCCCCTCAAACTATTTGATTACAAAGAAGCACAAAGGGTTACTAACTGCAGCAAAATGTGAGAAACAAAGCAAGGGAGGCAAATCCAGACTTAAGAACATAAAAATATCCAAACAGTTTTGTCAATATCAAAATCAAAACATCTTATATAATATAAAAGAAAACAAATCCATATAATTAAGTGCTACTTGGGTGAAAGAACATTTTAGGGCATATGACATTCATTTCCTCTACATAAATTTGCATATCTTTTATTTTTTTTAAGATTTTATTCATTCATTTGAGACACAGAGATACAGAGAGAGAGAGAGAGAGAGAGAGAGCATGAACAGGGGGAGAGGCAGAGGCAGAGGGAGAGGGAGAAGCAGACTCCCTGCTGAGCCAGGAGCCCGATGTGGGGCTCGATCCCAGGACCCTGGGATCATGACCTGAGCCGAAGGCAGACTCTCAACCATCTGGGCCACCCAGGCACCCCCATAATTTTGCATATCTTAAATTTAATGCAAAACACTATGTTTCAGTTCCAATTTGAGAATATCATAATGCATAGCTCTTAGTGAATCTAAATATAATAGGATGAATATTTTAAAAGAACCCAAAGATCATTTCATTTTCATTTGGTCATTATTGTTTTAACTCTCATTTTTCTTTATTCATGAGACTAAGCCGACTGAGAAATAAAATCCACAATCAAAGCATATATAATGCAGCTATTTCTGAAAACTGAATATCAGCATAGTGTTTAGTATGTCATTAAAGCAGCGGTTGTGGTTAAATGAACAAATGGATAAAAATTACGGCAACTAATGTACGATAAAGTTACAAAGCAAACGTTCAAAGTGTTATCTGGCATATATGCACTGTAGTAAAAGAAATCTGGATAAAGTGAGTAAAATGTGATTGATTATTAATAAATGACATTCCCAGCTAACACTGGGTCGTGTTGAGGAGCAGTGCATTTGTCCTCATATGTTATGTCGGGAACATATGCTCACAGTCCACCAGCTGTAGCCTGGATTTGCTGAGAAATGACTTACTGAGAAATGTAGGATTTAATCCTGGGTCATCCTCTTGTTCCTCCTCTTCGCTTTGAGATTGGGCACTCTGTGCCCAGGAATGCGGCATTGCAAATTGGCTAAAAATGTATCCATTGGTAGGAGAATAATTTTACTAAATTCATGAGGCAGATGAAATCTTCATTTAGAAAACAAAGCACTATGTTATAATTTGACAGTTACAACGCAAGCCCCAGCTCTTCCTAGGCATAGTGGAGCAACCTAAAATAAAAAAGCAAAAAGACATATTTGTTGGGTATGTGGGTTCAACTGTTGATAAAGCCATACTAGTTGGTAAAATACTGATATGGTCTGTACTTGTCAAAGAGCTACTGCCAAACTCTGCTGCCCCAGCCTTCCTGCCCCGCTTCCTCCAAGCCCCCTGCTGCTGTCAAAGTTTCGCAGAGTCAATTGTTTAGGGTGTATCACAGTATTATGCAGTATTCCCTTCTCTTTAAAGGTAATTCTAAAAAAAAAAAAAATTGCTCAGGACGTATTCTACCTGAAACACTTTATTTGGCCGACAGGATGTGGAATATGGATAATGAGGAACTGGGCAACACTTTGTGACCCATGTGGCGAAAATATCAAGTATTTTCTAGAGAGGGCCTGTGACAGATACCCTGTCTCCGAGCACACCAGATTCACTGCATGCCTGGCTGCTTTTTCCCCGGGGGCACGAGTCATTGCACATTTACTGACTGCCCTCTCTGTGCAGGGCTGGGCCATCTAAGCCCACTCTGCTACTTTTTAGCACAGTAAATAAATAATAAATACGCCTCCTCCAACTCCCTAGGAGTAGAAACAAACCTGGTGAATAAACTCTATGACAATGAGATACAAGGGCAGGGTGCTGGGAAAGAAGTATAATCTTAGTTTATGGATAAGGAGTAATTCCTAAATCTTTCACTTACCCTCCCTCCCTCCCTTCCTTCCTTCCTTCCCTCCTTCCTTCCTTCCCTCCCTCCCTCCCTCCCTCCCTCCCTCCCTCCCTCCCTTCCTTCCCTCCCTCCCTCCCTCCCTCCCTCCCTTCCCTCCTTCCTTCCTCCCTCCCTCCCTCCCTCCCTTCCTTCCTTCTTCCCTCCCTCCCTCCCTCCCTCCCTTCCTTCCTTCTTCCCTCCCTCCCTCCCTCCCTAGACACCAGGCCATTCATAGTGAAACTAAGTGTGGACAAGGATAGTTTTTAAAGAAAGATTACTTTGTCCACAGTAAGACCTAAGAATTAAAACAACAGTATTCAGGGAAGGGGTGACTAATACAAAGCACTGAGAAAATTTGTTTTGTATTTTATAATCTCATTTCGTTCCCTAGACAAATGTCCTCTTGTCCATTTGTTGGAACACTGAATGGAAAATTTATTTTTCAGATTCTACAGTTATAAGTCCAAATTTAGGTGCTTAAAAATAGTAATAGAGGTGATGTGCAAACAATAGCTATGTGGTCACTGATTATTAATTTTGATAAGAGAGTAATTCAGCATAAAGCATTAATTACCTGTAATAACAAGTCTCAAATACCGGCCAAAAGATTTCCTTATAACTAGCCTAAGAGCGTAAATCAACACATCTTAGAAAAAGAGATTTTTACATCTCTTCTTGGGCTCCTTGGTTATCATTCACATTGCCATGGCAGGAGGCTGATGGTGGATAATCACATAATTTCTTTTTTTAAATTTTTATGTATTTATTTATTTATTTTAGAGAAGGGGAGGCAGAGGGACAGGAAGAGAGAAAATCTCAAGCAGACTTCCTCCTGAGCACGGAGTGTGACATGGGGCTCATCTCCCGACCCTGAGATTATGACCTGAGCTCAAATCAAGAGTTGGATGCTTAACCCACTGAGCTACCCAGGCACCCCAATCACATAATTTCTGATAAAATTCTGTAGCGCTGATTTGCGCTCTCAAATGGTCTCTTCTTTCCTTCACCCAGTGACCCCATTTAAACTTAAGAAACAAGATCAAGGTCACACACTAAGTCCCTTTTTCTAACCTCTTCATTTAAAAACTCCTGTCCCTTTCTACAGTCATATTTTCATCTTCTTCTCCAGTCTTGGAAGAGGTCTTTCCTCCAGTCTGAGGAGGACCAGTCTTTGCTCTCAATTCTGTTTCCTGCCCTTCTTTCAGAAGTGTCCTTTAATGCTGCTCTTTCTAGTATCTGGAATCTCTACTCTCTAGTTTTCACCTCTACTGTGAAAAAGACCTTTGGCTCAAATTCTAACTCTACCATTGATTTACTGTGTGACTTGGGTCAAGTATTTAACCTCTCTGTGTCTCAGATTCCTCATCCAATAGAGTCTAGTACATAAAATGTGTTTGATAAATGTTAACTTCCTATCATCATCATTATTTGAAAGTTGTATGCCCCTCTAGGTCCTGCATTTACTTATTTTTCTCTTTACTTTTTACACTGTGTGGTGGTTTCTGCTTCTATCACATTCTCATAGGTTCTTATAACTTCACAAATGACAAATTACCTTCATTCTTCCTTATCCTGTTGAAACCCTGCTTCCTCTCTCTAATTGCTCTATTCCGTTATCTTATCTAAGACACTCTCCAGTCATTAATTTGCTGTTTTCTTCAGAAGTTGAACTTTTAATCCAACCCAGTAGAAAGAAAGAATAGACAGGACTTGGTAATATCTCTTGAATCCTTCTCTAGAGTTGACACCTCAAGCCTTACAAGTGAAGCAATCTTCTAAATGTTTTATTTTTATCCAGCCTTTGCTTCCCCTGCCCTTAACCCAACTTATCCTGTCCCCAACTGCCACATGAACTTTCTATTACTGTATCACTCTCCTGGTTAAAAGTCTCCACTGGCTTCCCACTACCAAACTCTTGAAACATGGCCTTCACTGACTTCCATCCTGACCCCAACCTTGCTCTCTAATAAGAATGTCCACAATAGTCAAACTATGGAAAGAGCCCAGATGTCCATCGACAGATGAATGGATAAAGAAGATGTGGTATATATATGTGTATATATATACACACACACACACACAATGGAATATTATGCAGACATCAAAAAATGAAATCTTGCCATTTGCATTGACATGGATGGAACTAGAGGGTATTATGCTAAGTGAAATAAGTCAATCAGAGAAAGACAATTATTATATGATCTCACTGATATGTGGAATTTAAGAAACAAGGCAGAGGATCATAGGGGAAGAGAGGAAAAAATGAAATAAGACAAAACCAGAGAGGGAGACAAACCATAAGAGACTCCTAATCATAGGAAACAAACTGAGGATTGCTGGAATGGAGGGGGGTGGAGGGATGGGGTAACTGGGTGATGGACACTGGGGATGGTATGTGTTGTAATGAGCACTGGGTATTATATAAGACTGGTGAATCACAGACCTGTACCCCTGAAACAAATAATACATTGTATGTTAATGAATTTAATTTAAATTAAAAAGGGCAGAAAAAAAAGAAGTCCTACTCCTACTAAGCTTGGATCCTTATAACCAGCCACACTTTCTCAATATATCTGGCGTATTTCTTCTTCACTGACATTTCTTTCGTGTTTTCTCACACAATTTCCCATTTCTTTCTACCTTTTGAATTGGATCAATTCAAAGCTTAAGTCCAACTTCTCACTAAAGCACTCTCAACAACCATTTTATTTTTTCTCTTTGATTTCCTACACCACTCAATGCCTACACCATGCGACACTTGCTACTAACTGTTCTACATCGTGGGTTCTCCCCTTACACACGCAGATCATACGTACTTAAGTAGTTAAGTTGTATGGCAGTGCAGATTCTTTTAAGTTTGTTTTCTTGACAGTACTTACCACTGCTCCTTGTATGTAGGAAAACCTTGGCTCAATTAAACATCTGAGTGTCTTTCAGGTACCAGATACTGAATTGGGGCACAAAATTCCTAATTCTGTTCTCGGTAATGATGGAAACAAAGACCTCAAAAGATCATTCTTAGAAGTGCTAGGCCCTCCAGAAATAGACATGGCTGGAATTCCTTCTGTTAATAAGCTTGCCGGGTCAAGTTTCTTACTTGTTAATGTAATTTAAGGTTGCCATCTTTATTAGGTGAATCCCAGACATTTCATCTGCTCCCAAATATCAGTGGCTTGAGTATTTAAAAATTATTGCTCACATCTGCCTAAGTGGTTCACATTTTTCTGATTTCTATCTTTGTTTCTTATTTTCCACAATCTCCCCTCCCTTTGCCATAGCTCTCTTGTGGTCCTATCTGCTTTATCAATACTAGGATCTCATCAATTCCCAGTAATCAAATGGTGGCAGATCAAAACTATTAATAATTTCTCTGAGTATTAACTTACACTTTAAAGATAATTTTGGATTTTAGTTAGGTCATAAAATTAAACATTCCTTCTTGTTTTCATATATTTAATCAAGAGATGACTTTATCATGCTTATGCTATATATTTTGATATTGGACAAAAGTGAGAAGATCATTTTTACCAAATGAATTGTTTTAATAAAAAGAGAGAAGTGTAATAATGAAAAATGAAATGCCATACCTGGGTCCACTCATTTGTCTGCGGATCATAAGCCTCCACTGTATTAAGATAAGTCTGTCCATCATACCCTCCAACAGCATATAATTTATCACCAAGTAAACAGACCCCCACTGCATCTCTGCTAATGCTCATAGATGCCACTGCAGTCCACGTGTCTGTTTTGGGATCATATCTGAAAGAAAATTTTAGAACTGGAGCTGACATTGTTCTCACAATATTTTTAAGTAAAAATAGTTTATGGATGAAAGACTCGCATGTCAGACCTGATACCATAAAACTCCTAGAAGAAAACATAGGGGTAAGCTCCTTGACACTGGTCTTGGCAATTATTTTTTGGATCTGACACCAAAAAGCAAAGGCAACAAAAGTAAAAGTAAACAAATAGGACCACATCAAACTAAAAACCTTCTGCATAGTGAAGGAAACCATCAACAAAATGAAAAGGCAACCTATGGAATGGGAAAAAATGTTTCCAAATCATGTATCTGATAATGTATCTTTATATCTAGAAGATATAAAGAATTGTACAACTCAATAACCAAAAAAAACCCCAAAAAACAAAAAAACCCCAAATAAACCACTTAAAAATGGGCAGAAGGTCTCAATAGACATTTTTCTAAAGAAGACATATAGATGGCCAGTAGGTACATGAAAAGGTGCTTAACATCACAAATCATCAGGGAAATGTAAATCAAAACTACAATGCCTGTTACCAAAAAGATAATAACAAGTGTTGGGGAGGATGTGGAGAAAAGGGAACCCTTGTGCACTGTTGGTGGGAATGTGAATTAGTGCAACTGCTATAGAAAACAGTATGGAGATTCCTGAAAAAATTAAAAATAGAACTACCATATGATCCAGTAATTCTACTTCTGGGTATTTACCCAAAGAAAATGAAAACACTAATTTGAAAAGATATATGTACCCCCCATGTTCACTGCAGCATTATTAACAGTAGCCAAGGGGCGCCTGGGTGGCTCAGTTGGTTAAGCGACTGCCTTTGGCTCAGGTCATGATCCCAGGGTCCTGGGATCGAGCCCCACATCGGGCTCCCTGCTCAGTGGGAGGCCTGCTTCTCCCTCTCCCACTCCCCCTGCTTGTGTTCCCTCTCTCGCTGTGTCTCTGTCAAATAAATAAATAAAATCTTAAAAAAAAAAAAAAAAAAAAAACAACAGTAGCCAAGACATCTAAACAACCTAAGTGTTCATCAATGGCTGAATGGATAAAGAAAGTGTGGTACATATAGAATACATACACATACGCATGCATGCATGCACACACTGGAATATTATTCGGCCATGAAAAAGAATGAAACCTTGCCATTTCAACAACATGGATGGACCTTGAGGGCATTATGCTAAGTGAAATAAGCCAGAGAAAACGAATACCTATGATCTCACTATATGTGGATTCTAAAACAAAAACAAAAAACTAAGCTCATAGATTGGTGGTTGCCAGAGGTGGGGCATGGAGGGGGTGGGTGAAATGGGGGAAGGGGGTCAAAAGAGACAAATTTCTAGTTATAAAATACATGAGTTATGGGGATGTAATGTATAACATGGTGATACAGTTAATAATACTGTACTGTATATTTGAAAGTTGCTAAAAGAGTAGATCTTAAAAGTTCTCATCACAAGAAAAAAATTGTAACTATATATGGTGATGGATGTTAACTAGACTTATTGTGATCATTTCTCAATATATACAAATGTCAAATCATTATGTTATACACCTGAGACTAATGTAATGTTATATGCCAATTATACCTCAATAAAAGAATACCTACATATCCAGAAACACCTGGGAGAGGCAGTATAGCAAAGTGGTTAGAGAATGGACTTTGGATTTGGGCTGAAGAATCTTGAGTCCTTATCCTTCCAATCACTGGCTCTGTGGTATTGTAAAGTTACTTAAAATCTTTACATCTTAGTTTCTTTATTGGTGAAAATACTGCTCACCACGCAGCATTGAGGATTAAATGAAAATGCACAGTAAGCATTTGATAAATGTCATCTTAAAGATGAGTTGGTTCATTTATTACAATTTTTTCCTATTAGCAAAGAATATATTCTTGTAACAAAAATTCAAAGATTACAAAAATATATAAAAAATGCAATAACTAGCCTCATTTCCTTCCAACTTTAATTCCAGAGTCAAGTGGTAACCACTATTAACAGTTTGGTTTGTATTTGATCTTTTATTTTTATTTTTATTTTTTTTTAAAGATTTTATTTATTTATTTGACAGAGAGAGAGACAGCGAGAGCAGGAACACAAGCAGGGGGAATGGGAGAGGGAGAAGCAGGCTTCTTGCCAAGCAGGGAGCCCGATGTGGGACTCGATTCCAGGACCCTGGGATCATGACCTGAGCCGAAGGCAGATGCTTAACGACTGAGCCACCCAGGCGCCCTGTATTTGATCTTTTAAATATTTCACTTTTTATTCTCAGGGCTTGAGATGCCTATTTCAGAACATGTTTTTTTTTTTTTTTAATTCGATTTACTTTTTCTTTCCATGTAAAACATTAACATTTTTTTCTTTCAAGAAAATAAAAATAGTTTAGTTCTTTAAGCCTACCCTTTATCTTATTACTTCTATCTAAAGTCCATCTGAACATATTTTAGAAAAAATATCAGTATTTTCCTGAAAAGCTTTTACTTACAATATTATGGATTCATTTAGTAAATCCATAACACTTAAACTATCCAAAAGAGCTAAAGTAAATACTGAAAACTGCTTTAAGATTTTCGATTGCCTACTGAAAATCTGAGGAAATCAATACACGAAACTCTATGTAAGATGGCTTACAGATGTAATCATTAAAGCTATCCACTTTTGAACCTTCTTGTTCCTTTCATGAAATATATTAACTAGAACAGCCCAAAGTTGTCTATCTAAGAGCAGATACATCATGCTCTAATACATCTATTGCTTCTAATATGTCTTGCACAAAAATGAACAATTTTTCATTGGGTGCAGTACTGCGGTGAGCCTGTAACTTATGGGGTAAAGTGTACAAAGAGTTCCATATTCCTTTCCTGGAGTATAACATGCAGCAAGCGCAGTCTCCCTAAGACAGGTGAAATGTAAGTATATCTTTCCTGCTTTCTCAAAAGACAACAAGCCGACCCTCCTTATTATTAAATAGAAAGCACTCATTGTCATCAAACCTGCATTTCACTTTTTATCTTTCTTCCAATCATGTATCATTAAATAAAACATGAGCATGCACGCACACACACACACCCACACACTTATCAACTTCCCATTGCTCTTTAAAATCCAGAATCCTTAAGACTCCACGTGTTCTGCCCCCATCTCCACCCTAGTCCGCCTCCTTTCCTGTCACTGTCTCCCTCATTCTCTGTTCCCCAGACACAGTGGCCACCTTTCAGTTTTCTGAATGAACCATATCTCTTTCTGCTTTGGAGTGTTCGTACATGCTCCCATTGACTCTACCTCCTAAATACATTCAATTCTCTCCATTCCTTGAACCAGACTAAAGATAACAGATGGGAGCCTGAACTATTGTCCAAATCGTCCACTGATGTTAGGCTCTTTACCTGGCCCCATACTTGAGTTTCATGAGGCCAGTTTGGATGACTTGTATAACCTTTTAAGCCATACTAGTTTTTTATTTTATTTTATTATTTCATAGTATCTCATTATATCAAAATGTGTTAGAAATGTTCCTCTCCTTTTCACCTCTTACTTAGCCTCCAGCCCCATTCCTTCTCTCTGAAATTTGTCAAGCTCCTTTCCTTTTCTTGTCAGGTACAGTATCCAGTATAAAATATGTACACAATAAATGTTTGTCATATAACTCAATTAATAAATTATATAATTAATTCTAAGGTAAATTTTAAGTAGGCAGTAATATGATGAGAGAAGAATCTGAGTAAGCTGTTAGGAGAAAGACCAGGAGATGGCCGGAGCAGACAACCCAATGTTTACAAAGCTGTGAAGGAACCGCCTTGCATGTGGTAGGTGTTCAAAAAGGAGTCATTAATTTGTCTGGAAGGGTCAGACAAGTTTTCCTTCACAGGAAATTACCTCTCCACGCAGTCTGAGAGTCTGGAAGTCAAGTTGGACGCAGGAGCATCATGTCCTCCAATTGCGTACAGCAATCCATTCCAGGTAGTTACTCCTACTCCCCCTCTCCTTTTTGACATTTGTGCACAGAGTGTCCATTTATTAGTATGAGGATCAAAACATTCTACTGATTTGAGGCAAGAACTTCCATCACGACCACCAACTGCATAAAGCCTATAAGAACAAATAGAATAATAAATAAAAAAGAGCGCCATCATTATGATTAAGACAAAGAGATTATTCTTATGGTATTTCATTGAATTTAAGGTGCCATAGATTATAAGACACACTGTCAATTTATGTGCCATCAAGAAAGAAGATATGCTACCAATTATATGACATATGTATATGTACATATACGTATAATATATATATATACCAGATATCACTCTGTATATACATAAAAAAGAACAAACTTACATGGAAGCAATGATAACTATTTCTGACAAGTCACCACTGATTATAAGACGCATCACAATCTTAGAGGCATAAAATGTGTCTTAGAATAGAAAAAATGTGGTATATAAATATACCATGACTTCTTTCTTAAATAGCTAAGATAGGACTAGGTTATAAAGGAAAGAAACTAACCTTTTCTGCACCTACCACAGGCTAGACATTTTACCTGTATTAATTTAATCATCTCAATGATGCTATGAGAAACCATTTATATTCCTGTTTCATGGGTGAAGAAATAGGCTCATGGAGATTAAGAGGCTTATACAGGGTCAAAAGCAGAACCAGGACGCAGTTAGAGTAATGAGCAGCTGTACTGTGAGCAGTCACCTGGGATGTTCTTGTAGTAGTGAAACAGGAGAATAAAAGGATTGCTTGAAACAATGGTATGTAAATTAATATTTATTACATACGAACAGTGATCCTTCATTAATTTAAATTACTGCAGAGAAGGATGCTGTAAGTTATCTAAAATGAATATGGTATGTTAATGTCCTAAATGTTGCCTAGTAGATAAATTTTAATTCATTACCAATCAATATATGGCATTAATTTTAAAAGTCTTTTACTCTGACCTTAAAATATATATAAAATATTATATTTTTCTAATAGTTTTTTCAAGAGTAATAAATTCAGGTCATTGCTTATATAAAAGTCCCCACATTTTGAATTTACAGATACCTTAGTTAACATTTAACTATTTTTCTTACCTCAGGAAAGAATATTTGAACTATACCAAATATCTGCCAATTAAAACTCTAAGTATTTATATTTGGGTAAATACATATATTTTAAAGACATTCGTTCATTTTAATTCATAATGTGAAGTACACTATACCACTCAAACTGGTCCTTTAGTGAGAAGATGACCATATCTTAGCAACATATGGGTGGTGCAATATCTTGTTCTAAACTTTATATTAATAGAATTAATTGAATTTGAAATTTATTTGAAACTTTGTTAAAAGTTTTTATCTGTCAAAAACTACTTTCTTGTCTTATTGTTCTTAATATTAAACTGTTCTCATTTTTAACTAATACTTGGTAGAATAATTGTTTGAATATGGATCACAGAATATCAGAAGACATCAACAATTAGAAAACATCCATAATTTGGGCGCCTGGGTGGCTCAGTTGGTTAAGCGACTGCCTTCGGCTCAGGTCATGATCCTGGAGTCCCGGGATCGAGTCCCGCATCGGGCTCCCTGCTCGGCAGGGAGTCTGCTTCTCCCTCTGACCCTCCTCCCTCTCATGCTCTCTGTCTCTCATTCTCTCTGTCTCAAATAAATAAATAAAATCTTTAAAAAAAAAAAGAAAACATCCATAATTTAAAAAACATGTACACATGTGCGTGCATACGTGTGTGCGCACAGACACACATGGATTCAAGACCATAAAAGAGGCTTAGTCACGTAAGCTACTGACAACTTTTAAGCAGAAAAGTGACATGGTCCTATTTGTATTTTAGGTAGGACATTAGGTAAGTCTCTAAAATGAAGGACAAAAGAGAGTTAAGATTAGGGGCAAAACAACCAGCTTGGGAGATATTCCAACAGAACAGTTAAAATCACAAAGTAGATATACTGTACTTTCAAAATCAAATGTCTTAATCATTAATAGATGAGTGATCTTCAGCTTCTGATATGATTCTTTGATTGCCTCAGTGTCAGTATTCAGTAAATTGTACCTCAGATGGGCTAAAGACTGAAATATTTATTTCTCGTAAGAGAGCAAGAGAAGGTGAGAAAGTAAGATATTTCCATGCTTAGAAGTTAAAGCTATTGTAGGTCTAGAAATTAGACTTTAGAGAAGGCAGCTATGCTTTTGTGCTGTTAGAAATATTTATTTCTAGGCTAGGAAATACGTCAGTGAACAAGAATTAGATCAATGAACTAATCCCAGAAATTTTAACTGAAGGGTTAAAACTGAAAAGATACTGTTAGTTTTCTCTCTTTTTTCTCATTTACTAGATTCTTTGGTGGCTGACTGCTACCAAAGAATGAGGGAAGATACGTAGTGATAAATTTTGAAGTTCTTTCTTTAGCTAAAACAAATGAAGGGAAGGGTTTGGAAATCAGATGCACTTTTTTTATTTTATTTTTAAAGATTTTATTTATTTATTTGACAGAGAGAGACATAGCGAGAGCAGGAGCACAAGCAGGGGGAGCAGGAGAGGGAGAAGCAGGCTCCCCGCAGAGCAGGGAGCCCGACGCGGGGCTCGATCCCAGGACCCCGGGACCATGACCTGAGCCGAAGGCAGACGCTTAACGACTGAGCCACCCAGGCGCCCCCAGATACACTTTAAAAAGTGGGTTTCTATTTCTCTATCTTACCACTTGTAATAGTGCTAAAAACCAACAAAATGTAGGACATAACTAATAGGTCCCGAGGAACCAAGACCTTACGTCATGAAGTATAAAAATCTGACTAATATTTTCTCACTTTCTTTTACCAATCAATACAATTCTACAAATAATTTTAAGTCTCTTTTAACTTTGATTCCTTCCCCTTTCTGGAAATGATGATAAAGCATTTTTTTTTTTAAGATTTTATTTATTCATTTAAGAGAGAGAGAGAGCACAAGCAGGGTGAGGGGCAGAGGGAGAAGCAGACTCCCCGCTGAGCCAGGAGCCCGACGCAGGGCTGGATCCTGGGACCCTGGGATCATGATCTGAGCCGAAGGCAGACACCCAACCATCTGAACCAGCCAGGTGCCCTGATGATAAAGCATTTTAAGTGAGTAAAGGTATGCAACACACAACTTTTATTTAATAACATATAGGGCTTCATTTTATGGAAGAAAGGCCTGTGATATGTATTTAGTCTCTGAGTTACCAAGAGCTATTGGTGATGGTTCTGTCCAAATCTGTTAACTCCAATTAGAGTAGACAAGAGCCAAGAGAGCACCTTTCTAAATCCATTTCAGTTTTCAGCAGTTGACCAAGATAAGAAAGAAGTAAAAGTAAAGATAAGTCAATAGAAGAGATGGAAGGAATTATTTAGGAAAACACAGAGAGGGCCTATAGTACATTTAAAATACTATATACTTTGAAAGCTATATAAACCACCAGATTTTTACTGTATTTATATAAAACTTCTTCACTCAAAATAACTTGAAATTTATAATATCTGCACAATAGAATGAAAACCCAACACGGTAAGTTATTTATATTTAGAACTACAATAAAAAGAGACTATTTTAAAAGTTTGCATCACTCTTAAAGTTTTTCTCTTCTGTGACTTTGTGTATTTTTTAATGTATATTTTTAAGTTAGACGATACAGCTCAGTAAATTTGGCTTATTGTGTTTGGAACAGAATTTTAAATATTTCCTTACTTTCCACTTAGTACTGCCACACCTACTGTGCTCCTGGGGGTGGACATAGTGGCAACAAAATTCCACTGGCGAGCCTGAGGGTCCCATCTCTCCACTGTATTCAGATAGCTCCAGCCATCATGTCCTCCTACTGCATACATGGGACCTTCCAATACAGCCACACCTGCAAGGAGACAGGAAAGAAGCAATGACTCCAGATTTGCTGCTAGGTCTTAAAGATCACATTTCAACTGAAATCTAAATATACAATTCACCACCTATGTTTTCACCTGAGTTTGATGGTTCCAGGTCTTATGTTCAAGTCTTTAACCCATTTTGAGTTTATTTTTGTGTTTGCTGTAAGATAATGGTCCACTTTCATTCTTTTGCCTGTGACTATGCAGTTTTCCCAGTACCATTTATTGAAGACTGTCCTTTCCCCATTGTATATCCTTGGCTCCTTTGTTGTAACTTAGTTGACCACATATGCATGGGTTTATTTCTAGACTCTCTATTTTGTTCCACCAATCAATGTGTCTGTTTTTAAGCCAAATACCATAATGTGTTAGTTATTATCACTTTGTAGCATGGTTTGAAATCAGGGAGTGTGATGCCTCCCGCTTTGTCCTTCTTTTTCCAGTTTGCTTTGCTATTCTTTTTTGTTTTGATTTGATTTTGGTTTTTTTGTGGCCTCATACAAATTTTAGGATTATTTGTTCTTTTTCTTTGAAAAATGTCACTGAAATTTTGATAGGCATTGCACTGAATCGGTAGATTGCTTTGGGAAGTACGATGAACCTTAAACATGCAAATTTAATTAAGGAAACATCTATGGTAAAGATACCTGGTTTCTTTCTAGCTCTTCTTGGTTGGTCGGTGGGTGGGTGAGGGGGAAAGTAGCTCTATGGCTCTGGTCTACTAAGCTTTAGAGGCAGTATCTTGAGATCCAACAGTGGAAAGTTATTTAAAACTATACAATATGTATACATTGCCGTATTTAAAAGATTTTTCAATAATTCAGATTTAAGATATATTTGTAAAATCGTATTTATTCCTTTCCCCCTATTAGTTCAAATTCATGAGATTTTATTCTAGTTAAGACTTGATACCACAATCTATTGGTGTGATTCATTACCACGGAACCAAGTTCCCTTATTCAACAAACATTTAGTTTTTATTAAGTGCCAAACGTTTAATAGAAGATAACAGATAAGGGCCCTGCCATCATGGACCTAGTATTTTAGTCAGGAAACAGGCAAAATATATTTCAGGTATTGATGAGTGCTAATAAGAAAAATGGAACTGAGTAGAAGGATAGGGAGGGTCAGGGAAGACCTCTTGGACAAAGTGACATTTGAACAAAAATGTGGATGAAGTTAAGAAGCCAGACATGGAGATATCTGAGAGAAGATACACACACATACACACATATGTATAGTTCCAAATATATAAAAATATATCCAATTATATGTGTGTATGTATGTGCATGTAATTAATTAAAGAGCTGGAAGAAAAATTAATGGGTCCATCTAGTTCAACTCCTTAAACAATATCTTTGAAAATGAATTTTAGCAGCAGAACCACTTCTTCAAAATGAAATCTTTATTTAATTCTCACATGTAAGAGATAAAAGGAGTGTTTCCTATGTAAAGAGTTTCTTTTGTAAGTTCAAATTTATAACATTGATTTATTATACGGTAAATAAGTAAGAACAAGAATGACAGAAAGATTTGGAAAAAGAAAAACAACTTGAAGAAGACATTTGAACTGGGCACCTGGGTGGCTCAGTTGGTTAAGCGACTGCCTTCGGCTCAGGTCATGATCCTGGAGTCCCAGGATTGAGTCCCCCATCAGGCTCCCTGCTTGGAGGGGAGTCTGCTTCTCCCTCTGACCCTCCACCCTCTCGTGCTCTCTCTCTCTCTCTCATTCTCTTTCTCAAATAAATAAATAAAAAGTCTTAAAAAAAAAGACATTTGAATTATATGATCATTCTCCTTTGAACTTGCTTCAATAAAGCATTTTGTATGGTACCTAGAATTAATGTCAGTATTCTATGCACAATCTAATCTGCACAAAACACAGCAAGATCACGGGCATTCTTATTCTCTATACCATAAGAATTTACCTTAAGTTAAAATTAAATTTCTTTTCTCCACGGTGGGGGAAAGTATGCAGGTGAATCATACTATTGACCCTGGATTTTATGGTCAACCCAAGTTTTTAAGTCTCATTCATGCTGCTTTTTTTTTTTTAAAAGATTTTATTTATGAGAGAGAGAATGAGAGAGAACATGAGAGGGGGGAGGGTCAGAGGGAGAAGCAGGCTCCCTGCTGAGCAGGGAGCCTGATGTGGGACTTGATCCCGGGACTCCAGGATTATGACCTGAGCCGAAGGCAGTTGCTTAACCAACTGAGCCACCCAGATGCCCCTCATTCATGCTGCTTTTAAGATACGTTCCCATTCTGTGCTTACGTAATAAGTTGATCTTATGGACTCAAGATTAATATTTTATAGTTTTGTTAAATCTCATATAGTTAATTTTAAGCTCCCCTCTCAGTACCTTACCCCTAGCCCTCTGGTTTTACTTCCTTACCAAACTTGAAACTTAAGATCACCTTGAACTGAAATCTAATTGCAAATAGTAGAATCACTTTTTTCTGTGATCTTTTTTGCTGTACCCACTATCAGACCAATCTTCATGCCTAGATAATTTTCATTACTGGCTATTGGCTTTTTTTTGGTGGCCTCTACTCTGGTGCTCAGCATTAATAAATCCAATGTAGTACAAAGTTATGCTATCTAAACTGAACTATGACTTCATTGCTACTCATCCATCTTTCAATTCATCTTTCACAACGATCTATCAAATTCTTTTTTTTTTAAAGATTTTATTTATTTTTTGACAGAGAGAGAGAGAGATGGCGAGAGAGGGAACACAAGCAGGGGGAGTGGCATAGGGAGAAGCAGGCTTCCCAAAGAGCAGGGAGCTCAATGAGGGGCTTGATCCCAGGACCCTGAGATCATGACCTGAGCCGATGGCAGATGCTCAATGACTGAGCCACCCAGGCACCCCAATCTATCAAATTCTTTATTGCAACTAATTTAAACCTTTTCCAAACTGTGATACATTGACAATATGGCCACAAATTCTTCTTATCGCTGAATGCATGCCTATTTTCAATGTGACTCTGCAGCTCCTTCCGCCAAGAGTAGTGTCCATCAACAGATGAACGGATAAGAAAGATGCAGTATCTTTCACACACACACACACACACACACACACACACACACACTGGAATATTATGTTATAAAAATGTTGAGATCATACCATTTGAGACATATGAGTGGACCTAGAGGGTATTATGCTAAATAAAATAAGGCAGACTAAGAAAGACAAATGCCATATGATTTCATTCATAGATGGCATCTAAAAAATGATTAATCAGGGGCACCTGGGTGGCTCAGGTGGGCAAGCGTCTGCCTTCGGCTCAGGTCATGATCCCAGGGTCCTGGGATCGAGTCCTGAGTTGGGCTCCCTGCTCGGTGGGGAGCCTGCTTCTCCTTCTGCCCCCCACTTGTGCTCTCTCATTTTCTCTCTACCTCAAATAAATAGAAATAAAATCTTTTGAAAAATAAAATAAAAAATGAATAAACAAATAAAGAACAGAATCAGAACTAAAGATACAGAGAATAAACTGATGGTTGCCAGAGGGGAGGGTGATGGAGAGCTGGGCAAAATGGATGGGCAGGGAGATAACAGGCTTCCAGTTACGGAATGGGTAGGTCATGGGAAGAAGAGGCTTAAGAAATATAGTCAGTGATAATGACATAGGGATGTATAATGGGACAGATGGCAGCTATACTTGTGGTGAACACAGCGTAATGTATAAACTTGTCAAATCACTCAGTTGTACACATGAAACCAATGTAACATTGTGTATCAACTAGACTCAAATAAATATAAATATAAATACATACATACATACATATATACATAAATAAGAATAGTCTTTTTCTCTACTTTTTGAATCTGGGCTTGCCCACGTGACTTGTTTTGGCCAGTGCAACATTAGCAAACATGAGGCAGGCAGAAGCTTGAAAAGTCTTTGTGCACTGTGGCTTGCCTTCTCTTGCTGCTTTTGAAACTCTGACTGCCACCACGTGACAGAGCCTGGCTAGCCTGGTGAATGATTAGAGGCACGTGGCCCACTTGTCTCTGTTGCCCAGGCCAACAACCTGCCTACTACTACACATGTGATTGAGGCTATCTGAGATCACCTAGCTGACCTGCCATCCCACTGGAGATCCATGAGAAAACCCAGCAGAAATCATCCAAGGCAGCCTGGACCAGAAGAATGGCTCAGCGGACCCACAGATCCATGAGCTAAATATACGGTTGTTTTAAACCTCTGACTTTTGGAGTATTTGTTATGCAGCAAAAGCTGGGTGATAACCCCATCTAATTTTATTTCCATCTGCTTTACTCTCATCAAATAATTCTATTTCACCTATTCTTTCTCCTATCAAAAAAAATAGGTCATGTGACACAAGACCCTAAATTATCCTCTACCATACTCAGAGTAAGCCATCAGTTCCTTCAGAGTAAAGACAGTGTCTTCTTCATCTTTGTATACCTACTGAGCAAAGAACACAGCACATAGTACATGCTAATCAACGTCAGTTCAGTGAATTATTGAGTGAAAGAATGAAAAGTCGCTATCATTATATTCTCTGTGCCACCCCAAGATTTCTCTGGGTTTTTATTCACTTCTGCTTAAAAACCAGGGGTTATAGATGAAGATTTTTTAAATAAGCATTTCAATCAGGTTAGACTGTATTCTGTGATTGTCAACACAGAATACATATTTAAAAAGGTGGCTTATCACTCCATCATGCTACAATAAAATCTTTAAATTACTTGTTTTTACTTGTGCTGGTTGCTGTTACACTTATGTATATGCTTGTTTGCCCTGATTCTGCTTCTCAGTTAAGGAGCATGTGAAGGAATGCTTGGTGACTGATTGTTGCTGACTCAGCCGCTGCCACAGTGGTCTTCTTCTGCCTGGTAGATTGTAAAAATGCTGTGGAAGCCTAATGTATGATATCATGAATGAACCTGCATAGTTATACTCACCAAGGCCATGCCTGTGGGTGGACATAGGAGGCATCACACTCCAGGTTTTTGTTTTGGGATTGTAGCATTCTACAGTGTTCAAAGTCTTCAGTCCATCTCTTCCTCCAACCACATACAGTTTGTCATCTAACACTGCAACACCAAACTGTAGCCTCCTCCCATTCATATTTGCTACAGGAGTCCACATATTTGTACGAAGATCATACTTTTCAATGCTTGTTGCTCCTTAATAGTAATATACAGAAGTTATGTAAATAAAAACTTTACCATGTTTGAGTATTTTATGAATTTATACATATAAAAGTATAATTTTATTAGTATTGACAATAACCCTTTTATTATATTTCTGTGAGCTCCTGCATGATCAGGCCCCTGCTTCTATCTCTGACATCATCTCCTACTATTCTCTAGGGCATACACAAGGCTCTATATTAAAAGGTCAAGTGAGAAAGGTTTATTTGTAACAGCCTGTAGTGGGAGGAAAAGCAGGGTAGATTAGTGTCATGAAGCCAAAGTAAAAAAAAATTAGCAGGTAGTTTTGAAGGCAAATGGTGGCAGAGTCCCATGAACACAACTAGATAACTATCAAATCCTAAATACCCCAGGAATGAATCTGAAGACTGGCAGAACAAACTCCACAACTAAAGGTAGGGAAGAGGCCACACAGAAGATGATCGGAAGTATGGAGACATGGCTTGGGAGAGAAACAGATCATGGCCAATGTGGTGAGGAGGGAGCCATGGTCTCAGAGAAGGGTAGGAGACAAACTAGCACACAGGGGAGTGCATGAGGAAAATGAATCCCCTTAGCAATTGGCTTGGCAAGTGAGAGGGCCTGCATTTTATGAGTTCTTACAACCAGTGGGGCTTAAAGTTTGGAGATTTAAAAGTCAGCATGCTTGGCTTTGGAGAGCTTGGAGGACATTGGGGCTGCTCCTGAAGAAGACTGTGGACATACAGCATGGAAACATTGATCTGAAGAGCACCTGGGGCAGGCAGTGGGGAGGTTAGTTGCCATCAGAGCATGTCTCAGGGAGGCAGCATTCATGGAGACCCTTCTGGGAACAAAAGAACTGACAGGTGCCATTTCCCTCCTCCTGCTTCTCAGCATAAGCACAGGGCTAACTGCAGGAACCAGTGCAGTGCTAACACTCACCACCTACCTTGCTTACACCAAGCCCTGTTCCCCCAAACTCCAGTGGAACTGCCCTTCACAGTCACACTTGTCTTAGTCCCAGCACAGCAGGCCCCTTCCCCAGAAGACCAGCCCAAAACCCTGCCAACACCATGTCTGCCAACTGAGGAGTTTTGTGAGGACTCAGTTCCAGTGGCAGTGGTGACAGGTCTCATTTCACAAGCGGACCACAGCACACCTAGTTAAAATGCACCACGTTCAGGCCAGGGACCAAACACTGCCCACAACAAGCAAAGAGAGCCTCTGCAGACAACTGGTCTGAAGCATAAAGTGGCCAGGCCACAATAGCAGAGCACACACAGCACACGCTGGAGATACTCCTTGAAGCACCAGGCCCGAGGGAACAGGGGACACTACACTGCAGGGCACTATAAGACCTCTTCTTCATAGAGCCATTACCCTCAAGAACGGAGATATAGCTGACTTTCTAAACACAGAAAAACAGGGTGACTTAGACAAAACATAGAGACTTAGACAAAATGAGAAGACAGAGGAATTTGACCCAAAAGAAAGAACAGGACGAGGCCACAGGTGGAGATCTAAGCAAAACAGATATAAGTGACATGCCTGATGGAGAATTTAAAGCAGTGATCAGAAGGATACTCACTGGACTTGAGAAAGGAGTGGAGGACATCAGTGAGACTGAGAATAAACTTAGGGAACTCAGTGACTCCATCAAACATAATTAACATTTGTATTATAGGAGTCCCAGAAGAAGAGACAGAAAGGTGACAGAGAATTTATTTGAAGAAATAATAGCTGAAAACCTCCCTAATCTGGGGAAGGAAACAGATATCCAGATCCAGAAACACAGAGAACCCCCGCAACAAAATCAACAAAAGCAGATCCACCCCAAAACATATTGTAATTAAAATGGCAAAATAGGGGCACCTGGGTGGCTTAGTCGGTTGGGCATCTGCTTTCAGCTCAGGTCATGATCCCAGGGTCGTGGGACCTAGCCCTGCATTGGGCTCCCTGCTCTAAGGGGAGCCTGCTTTTCCCTCTCCCTCTTCCTGCTGCTCTCCCTGTTTGTGCGCGCTCTCTCTCTCTGTCAAATAAATAAAAAAAATCTTAAAAAAAAATAAAATGGCAACATATAGTGATAAAGAAAAAAATATTAAAAGCAGCAAGACAAAAGAAGGCGGTTACATACAAGGAAACCCCATAAGGCTAGCAGCAGCAGATTTTTCAGCCGAAACTTACCATGCCAGAAAGGAGTGGCATGACATATTCAAAGTGCCGAATGGGAAAAATCTGCAACCAACAATATCTATCCAGCAAGGCTATCATACAGAATAGAAGGAGAGATAAAGAGTTTCCTAGACAAACAAAAACTAAAGGAGTTCATGACCACTAAACCCAGCCCTGTGAGAAATATTAAAGGGGACTATTTGGTAGAAAGGAATGATCAAAAAGACAGTATGAAGGTAGGAAACACAAAAGCAGTAAAAAGAATATTTCTGTAAAAAGTCAGTCAAGGAACTCACAAAATAAAAGGATGTAAAATATGACACCATATACCTAAAATGTGTGGAGGAGAAAAGAAATGAATGGGTCCAAACTTAAATAACCATCAACTTAATATAGACTGCTATATCCAGAAGAGGTTATATACAAACCTCATGGTAACCACAAATCAAAAAACACTAATAAATATGCAAGAAATAAAGAGAAAACAATCCAAATATCACTAAAGAAAACCAGTAAACCATGAAAGAGAGAAAGACAAGAAGGGATCAGAGAAAATCTCCAGAAACAACCACAAAACGAGTAATAAAATGTCAATAAATACATATCTGTCAGTAATTACTTTGAATGTAAATGGACTAAATCAAAAGACAATCAAAAGACATAGTGTGACAGAATGGATAAAAAAACAAGACCCAGCTGTATGCTACTTACAAGAAACTCATTTTTGACCTAAAGACACCTGCAGATTGAAAGTGAGGGATGGAAAAACATTTATCATGCAAATGCATGTCAAATAAAGCTGGAGTAGCAATACTTATATCAGAAAAAACAGACTTTAAAACAAAGATTGTAAGAAGAGACAAAGAAGGACATTATATAATAATAAAGGGGACAATCCAACAAAAAAAATAACAATTGTAAACATTTATGCATGCAACATGGGAGCACCCAAATACATAAAACAATAACAAACATAAAGGACGTAAGTGATAACACAATAATAGTAGGGGACTTTAATACCCCACTTATATCAATGGACAGATCACCTAAACAGAAAATGAACAAGGAAACAATGGCTTTGGATGACATACTGGACTAGATGGATTTAACAGTTATATTCAGAACATTTCATCCTAAAACAATAGAATATACATTTTTTTCAAGTGCACATGGAACATTCTCCAGAATAGATCACATGTTAGGCCACAAAACAAGTCTCAAAAAATTTAAAAAGACTGAAGTCATACCATGAATCTTTTCTGACCACAATACTTTGAAACTAGAAGTCAACCACAAAAAAAAAATCTGGAAATACCACAAATACATGGAGGTTAAATAACATGCTAACTAAACAATGAATGGGTCAACGAGGAAATAAAAGAAGAAATTTAAAAATACATGGAAACAAAAGAAAATGAAAACACAATGTTTTAAAACCTTTGGGACACAACAAAAGTGATTCTAAGAGGGTAGTTTATAGCAATATAAGCCTACAAGAAAAATCTCAAAACACCTAAGCTTACACCTAAAGAAGCTAGAAAAAGAACAACAAAGAAAACCTAAAATCAGCAGAAGGAAGGAAATAATAAAGACTAGAGCAGAAATAAATGATATAGAAACTAAAAACAAAACAAAACAAAAACCCCAAAAACAATAGAACAGATCAATAAAACCAGGAGATCATTCTTTGAAAAAACAAAAAAACAAACAATAAAATTGGTAAGTCTCTAGCTAGACTTATCCAAAAGAAAAGAGAGAGGACACAAATAAGTAAAATCACAAATGAGAATGTAGAAGTAGCAACCAACACCACAGAAATATAAGCAATTATAAGAGAATATTATGAAAAACTATATACCAACAAATTGGACAACCTAGAAGAAATGGATAAATTCCTAGAAACATATAAACTACCAAAACTGAAACAGGAAGAAATACAAAATTTGAACAGACTGATAACTAGCAAAGAAACTGAATCAGCAATCAAAAAACTCCTAACAAACAAAAGTCCTGGACCAGATGGCTTCAAAGGAGAATTCTACCAAACATTTAAAGGAGAGTTAATACCGGGGCGTCTGGGTGGCCCAGTCGTTAACCATCTGCCTTCAGCTCAGGTCGTGATCCCAGAGTTCTGGGATGGAGCCCTGCATCGGGCTCCCTGCTCAGCGGGAGGCCTGCTTCTCTCTCCCACTCCCCCTGCTTGGGTTCCCTTTCTCACTGTGTCTCTGTCAAATAAATAAAATCTTAAAAAAAAAAAAGAAGAGTTAATACCTATTTTTCTCAAACTATTCAAAAAAATAGAAAAAGGAAAACTTCCAAATTTATTCTATGAGGCCAGCATTCTTCTGATACCAAAACCAGACAAAGCCAGCACCACAAAAAAAAAAAAAAAAAAAAAAGAACTACAGGTCAATATCCCTGATGAACAAAGATGCAAAAATTCTCAACAAAATACTAGCAAATTGAATACAACAATACATTAAAAAAAAAAAAAATCATTCGCCATGATCAAGTGGGATTCCTGGGTTCTAAGGGTGGTTCAATATTCACAAATCAACCAACATGATACATTGCATCAATAAGACAAAGGATAAGAACCACATGATCATTTCTTTTCTTTCTTTCTTTTTTTTTTAGAGAGAGAGAGAGAGTGAGCGTGAGTGAGCAGGGGGTGGAGGAGAGAGAGGGAGAGAGAGAATCTCAAGCAGGCTCCATGCCCAGGGTGGAGCCTGATGTAGGGTCAATCTCACGACCCTGAGACCATGACCTGAGCCAAAATCAAGAGTCAGACACTTAACTGACTGAGCCACCCAGGTGCCCCATGATCATTTCAATAGACG